AAATTCTGTATGATGCAGCATTATCTCTACTAGGTGCTTATTCAAATACCAAAAATCTAATATGAAAAGATTTACCTATGCCTTGTATATAGCAGCACTGTCTATAACTACCAAATCATAGAACCAACCCAAATGTCTTTTCACCAATGGATAAATTGTGGAATATATATACCTAATGGAATACTACACCGCTATGAAAAATGATGACGTAGCATGTAGGACAAAATGGATGGACCTTAGGTGATTATGTTAAGTCAAAAGGTGAAAAACAGTTATCAGATGGTTTTACTCATCTGTGTAAAGTAAATAACCAAAAACACACAGGTAAAATACAATAGGCATAAATCTTTAACTCAGTGAAAGAATATAATGATTACTAAAGGGAACAAGGAATCTAGGTGGAGTACTGACACAGGTAATTTGGTCGAGGGTGAGTGAAACTTGCTCATACAGAAGAGCAAAAGTTGACAATTATTACATGTCAAATTCAATCAACTTTAACCAATTTTACTACCTCAAACTAGCTGGACTGCTTATTGTGTTGTTTTTTAAATAGGAAAAAAATTTAAAGTATGTTAAAACCAATTTGAAGTAATAAATGTACTTCATTAAAAAAAAGATTTTATTTATACATATAATAACTGAGGTATAGGCCAAAGGTGTAGGCGAAAGAGGATTTACTAGAGACAAAGTGGTTAGCACAACAGGTGGATCTACTGAAATATACTGCTGAGGGGAGCAGTGCATTGGACAGGAGAAGTCTGCTGTGCCATGTGAGTCACCTTCCTGGCTGGGGATCCAACTCATGCTGTAGTGGCTGGCAACAGCTTGATAACACTGAGGCTTAACCCCTGTGCTATCAGGAAGGCTCATAAATGGACTTTATATGATGTACGTTAATTGTGTATTAAAATGTGCTAATGAGAAAGTAATCATGTATCATTTAGTTTTGTGATTTTTCTCACAATTCGTCATAAATTATTAACAGATGTAACTGTGTGAACTGAGATTCCAAGCGTGAAGATGACGATCAGTTTTTCAGATGATTAACAGGGATTTCACTTGAGTCGCTGACATATAATCCATATCAATTCCCTTATTGCATATGAAAGAATTTTAAGTTGTTTTTTTTTTTTTTTACATCATTTTGTGCCTTTTTCTCTCTTAGTTGTAATCCCTGTGGGCTTCCCATCACCAAATCACCATAGTGATTGGTGTGGCATCACCATAGTCCAATGTGCTGCTTCTTCCTCTCCCCTCCATTTTTGATCCCATTCTGAACTCCACCCCATAAAATGTCTCTGGTATATAGTTGTTCACTATTATTATCTCCTCCCCCTCCCCCATCCTTTATGCTCCTACTATGAGTGAAACAATCTGGTATTTTTTTTTCTTTCTGGCTTATTTCACTAAGCATGATCCCTTCCAGCTCCATCCATGTTGCTGCAAAAAGGCATGTGTTTATCTTTTTTGATTGCTGAGTAATATTCCACTGGGTGTATGTATTACATCTAAAAAATGGAATTTTTAAGTATAACAAATGCCTGAAGCCCACTTCCCAAGATTCTGATTCAGTAGGTTCAAAAGGTATAAGGACTGGAATGAACATCTGTTCATTTAAAAGCTTCAAGATACATCTCAGGCCAGAACACTGTTGCTCTGACCCGCTTTCTATTATAGAATTATCTGCAATATGCAATATGTATTCAATTCATTAACTCCCAAGTCATGGCTTTCTATTTTAATAATTATGTCAGCTAACCCAGTAATTCTGAGAACCTGCCCTAAGTAGCCAGAAATGAAGATGTGTAAAGATGTGCTATTTTAAAACTTACAGTAGAATATAATTACAGTAACACTTTCTATGTCTAAGAGCTGAAAGCAATCTAAACAATTCAACACAATTAACTAACATTTAAATCTGTCATTGTTCACCACTAAAAATGACAACCTTTTACCAAAATAAAACATAGTTAACACTCTAGGAAATACTATAGGATCCAAAACTAGTAGTGTGTAGGATTTCATTCCATGTTTCTGTAGGACTTCATTGTTGTTAAAAATAATGATTAAAAACTGATTCAAGAAGATACCTGCACCCCCATGTTTATTGCTGCTTTATTTACAATTGGAAAGACATGGAAACAGCCCAAATGCCCAAAAGTGGATGACTGGATTAAAAAGATGTGGTACAGGCCCTCCCTGGTGGCGCAGCGGGTTAAAGCACTGCACTGAGAAGCTAAAGCCACTTCCCCATGAGTTCGATTCCCCGCCTCCCCCGGAGGTGACCACATGGCGTGGCAGACCTCTCCTGACCCGCCCACTGCTCCCCTCAGCAGTGTACTTCGTTGATCTGCCTGTTCTGCTCCCCACTCTGTCTCTGGGGAAGCCTCTCACCGCTCAGAGCCTCTGCCTCTGGCCTGTACCCCAGTTCTGTATGCATAAATAAATAAATCTTTAAAAAAAAAAAAAAAGATGTGGTACATTAACACAATGGAATGTTACTCAGCAGCCAAAAAAATAAATAAATAAACACATGCCTGTTGCAGCAACATGGATAGAGCTGGAAAAGATCATACTTAGTGAAATAAGCCAGAAAGAAAAGGAAAAATAGTGATGGTTTCACTCATGGCAGGAGTATAACGGACCAGGTGAGAAAATAATAATAATGAATAGCTATATTCCAGAGACATTTTATGGGGGTAGAGTGGGGAATGGGATCAAAAACAGTGGGGGGAGGGAAATGCACTGGACTATGGTGAATAGCACATGGGTGATTTGGTGATGGGAAGCCCACGGGCATTACAAATGAGATGAAAAAATGCACAAAATGATGTAAAAATAAACTAAATTATTATTATTTTTAAAAGATTTACTTATTTGTGCATACAGCACTGGGGTACAGGCCAGAGGCTCAGGGGCGGCGAGAGGCTTCACCAGAGACAGAGTGGGGAACAGAACAGGCAGATCAATGAAGTACACTGCTGAGGGGAGCAGCGGGCGGGCCAGGAGAGGTCTGCCACACCATGTGGTCACCTCCGGGGCGGGCGGGAATCGAACTCATGCAGAAGCGGCTTTAGATTCTCAGTGCTGTGCTTTAACCAGCTGCGCCACCAGTGAGGGCCAAACTATATTATTTTTAAAAATAAGTAAATAAAGATTAGAGGGCCTTCCCTGGTGGCACAGCCAGTTAAAGCACAGCACTGCAAGCTGGCCATAGCCACTTCAGAGTATGTTCGATCTCCGCCACAGAGGTGATCCACATGGCATAACAGACCTCTCAGCCCCTGCTGCTCCCTTCGGCAGTGTACTCGTTCATCTTCCTGTTCAGATCCACCACCCCTACCCCCTCCACTACCCCCCCACCGCCGCCTCTGGTGAATCCTCTCACTGCCCCTACAGCTTTGGCCTGTACCCCAGTACGTATGCATAAATAAATCAATCTTTAAAGATTGGAAACAAAAAAGGTTGATCTAAGCTGTTTTAACATAAGTTACTTAATAGGTTTAGAAATTAAGGGTTACCTTTAGTTTTATGTTTATACATCTCAGACAATCCTTTTCAATTTTTCTATAAGCATACATATTACCTTTCTCCCCAGTTATAAAAGTTGGCCTACTCAGCTGATGCAGGCTGGATAGAAAGCAACCTGTTGCAGGGCTAAAGACATTTAAATTTCAAAAAAGATCCATGAATTAATTCTTATGGATACTTATTGAAGGTTTAAATTTTAAAGTAAAAATCAAGACTACTACATTTTAAAATAGTGATGAATGTAATATAGTGTCCACATCAAATTAGAGTTGCTGTAAAGAAGCACACTACTAACTCATTAGGTGAGGATTTGAAACCAGCATTCCCCATCAAAGCAGATACAATGAATCATTATGTGGTACACCTGAAACGAATGAACTAAGTTCACTTATAATGATGCACCACTGAAACTTATGTTTACTAATGCAATGTTACTTAAAAAAAAATTAAAAAGCTGACTGAGAAAGTACAGGGCAGAGTCTACTTGGCACTTGGTAATAGTGAATAATTCCTTTCTAGCCTTAAAGTCTTCAAGGTATTTAGTATGCTTTGAAAGACAGGGAAGGGCGGTTGATAGTCTAGAAAAAATTACCGAGAAGTAGCTAAAGTGGAAAGGTGGGATACTGGAAATGACTGCAAACGCTTAAATAATAATTGCAAGCATGATTAACCAGTGCCTGGGTGCCACAAGTCCAGTATTTTCGACGATTTCACATATTTAACCCTTCGCCCATAAACTCAAATTCAATTACGTGCTTCTGTTTTTAATTATGAAAACATGCTCTATCTCCCCGTGGTCACAGTTACGAACCACTATCACTTCCAGAAGGGGGACCCGATGGCAAGAGTTCAGGTATGCATTAATGCCACTGCATATGCCTGGTACACCTGGCGTGTGTTCCGAGACTCGGCGACGCCAGGAGAAAACTTTTTATTAACCCCTCATGCTCGTGGGTCACGGGGCTAATCCCAGCTAACTTCTGAGGTGTTAAGCGACCTAAATCTACCCGTGCTCCGTAGGCCCAGCCAGCGGCCACGCAGACACCTGGAATTCGCTGGGTGGAAACCAGTATGTTTTAAACCAATAAATAACAATTAACGACTTTCCAGTAGCCTTTCCTATGTGGAGTTAGGTATATCTGAACGCGCAAGCAGAACATCAGGAGGTTTTTAAGTCTCGTTGCACCGGGCGAAAACACCTAGACTAAGGCCAACTGCTTAAAAAGCCCGGAACTGCAGCAGACCTGGCATGGGCTGCAGAGACTGCCCTGACCTGTCCTGCCGACAAGGAGCCCTCGCCCAGCCTCTACAAGGCTCGGCAGCGCCAGGAAGGCAGCCCGTACCCCGCCGGCGGGAGAGACTTGGGTGGCCGCTGCGTCCCTCAAAGGCCTCGGCCGGGTCCGACCTCAGACGGCTGAACAAACGTCCCGCGTCCGGCCTGGGAGGTCCGCGCGCCGGAGAGTTACCTGCAGCAGGTGCAGCTGGGTCACGAGGAGCCGCGGCAAGTGGAGAAAGCAGTCGCGTGCGTTGGTGAAGGTCACGGTCACAGACGCTCCAGCTCCTCCGGCACCAGTCAGGCGGTCGCTACCCCACATCTTACCGAAATGCGCACTCTTCTCAGCAGCCCAAGCTAGCGACCCGGCCGCCTGGCCAGGCCGGGGCCTCGGAGCCCAAGAAAACTCGATCGGCCCCGCCCCCTAAGACCCCGCCCCCTCCAGCGTCTCGCCGCGCGCCCGTAGTGGGAGGGGCCTGCAAGCCTCCTCCGGCTCGCCCAGGCGTTCCGCCGCGTAGCTGGTAGGACGACACCTTTTCCATCAAATGCGCCCTCGCAGGAAACGAGGGCCGACGCTGTCGATTCTCCAGCCAATCCCGGCACGCCTTACCCCATTACTCTCTCTTATTGGGTAAACGGCGGTGCCGCGAGGCGGATGTTATCGTCCCGGCGACGACCTAGGCCCCCAAGATGGCGTCCAGTGGCGGTGAAATCGGAGGCTTATTGGACCACCACGTCCAAAGGGCAGTGTGCGACACGCGAGCCAAGTATCGAGAGGGCCGACGGCCTCGAGCGGTCAAGGTAAAGTGATTTCAGCTGCATTCGCTGTCCTGGGTAGCCCCGCTTCTGTAAATAAAGCCCTGACAAGACTGCTGTCATAGTCATCAAAGGAGATGAATTTTGAGGAATCCTGGTAGTCAGACACCAAAGATTTTCACGACCCCTTTGGCGAGCCACTAGAACGTCAAACCCGCTAGATCGAAGATTTGTTTTTGTCATTGTATTTTCCTTGTTTGCGGCGGTGCTTGGCACAGGGTAAGCATTCTGTGGATATTTCATTCTTTTCTTTGACTTCTTCCCAACCAACGTCTGGGAAGTTTGTCGACTGAAGATAGTCTGTTACATGCTTTAGATGAGGCTCACACATAGGCTGAATTGTTTATGCAGAAAGAGGGGCAATTTTTTTTAACCTTTTATTTTCTGCTTACAAGTTGAAAAAGATATTTGTCCTCATAGTTTGTTTTTTTAGAAGTAGCATATTTGACCTAGGCTTATTTTCGACATATATTTAATGTGTCTGTATTTCCTATAGGTATATACAATCAATTTGGAATCTCGATACTTATTAATTCAAGGAGTTCCTGCAGTGGGAGCAATGAAGGAATTAGTTGAACGATTTGCTCTGTATGGTGCAATTGAGCAGTATAATGCTCTAGATGAATACCCAGCAGAAGACTTTACCGAAGTTTATCTTATTAAATTTTTAAATTTACAAAGTGCAAGGTAATATACAAGCTAAATACTGTTTCATTTCCTCCATTCCCATTGTCATAATTTTGGCCCCAGGTTTCCCTTATTCCTACCTGAATTACCCAATAAGTGCTTAGATTAACTCTCCCTCCAGTTGTTTTATTAAATGTTAACATTACCAAAACACCTTTCACCTCATGTCATTCTCATACTTAACTATTCTCTGTTATGCAGCTGATAAAAATTGTGGTTGGTGTAAATTTTCCACTTCTTCCGCTTACTAACATCATGACCATACAGAAGTTATTTCCATCATGCTTGGTTTTCCTATTGTGTAAAATTCATATGGTAAAAGGACCTACTTCTTGAGAGTGCTTGAAGATGTTAACATAGTGGCTCCTCTACAGAATGCAGTAAACATTTCCTACTGAGGTTCTGTTTTGCACTTATGTGAATTGACCCCATCTTTTCCAGCCTTCTGTGTAATATAAACCTCTGCTTAAAGGCGGCTAACGCATGATCTAACTTACTGATTTTTATGTTTTCCCCTATTCTTGTCACTAAGATCCATCCTTCCCTGATTACTAGCAACTAATATTTTCTGTGCTATGATTAGTACTTTTAGTATGTCATAAACTCTTGATTTTATAGAGGCTCATGTGCTATCAGGTTGCTCTTATATGTAGTCTCTTATCCCTAACCAACATGCCACCTGGTCACAGCTAGAGAAGCATATTTTCTAGAGAAGCATATTTTCTAGAGCTTTTTACATCTCACAGCACCTAGTAGTTAGGCCTTGGAATTTGACAACTGGATTTGAATCCTAGCTTCATAAACCATTGTGAACATGACCAAGTTATGTAATCTTCCATATCTTATTTTCCTCAATCAAGTGAAGCACTTAGGATATTATTTGGTACACAGTAAAATCTCAATAAGTATTTTCATTATCCCTGGCACAGAAGTGTTTTAAATATTGTAGCAGTTCCTGGCAGCCATAGATATTTACTAAATATTTGTTGAATGTATGCCATCTTATCATTTTCTAACTTGGTTGTCATATATTCAATATTTGCTCAATGATTAAGGTTTTAATCATTAATTTTAATGTATTAATCTCATTATAGCTATATCATGTGCTAAAAAAAGCTACATTGGATATGAACTAACTCTCAAGGATTATTGAAATTAACACAGAAAAATCTCCATTTCATTACCATGGAATATGTCCCTCAGACTAACCTGTTGAATCAAAAGTTGATTAAAGGGTGTCTGAATATGTGTGGGTGACACAGCCCAAAACCTGCTAACACTACTGGAAGAGGGTAAGAGAGACAAAATAAGCACTGGGGCAGTAGGGTCAATACCAGCCACAGATGAATCAGAATATTAATTCCTGAGCCCTAATATGAATAGACACAGCAAAAGCTGTACATTGTTCTTTAGATCAATGTACTGTATACTATTAAGGTTTACATCCTCAGTAAATCTAGATTAATGAACTGTGCCATCCATTGTTTTGTTTAGGATAGCCAAGAGAAAAATGGATGAACAGAGCTTCTTTGGTGGATTGCTTCATGTGTGCTATGCTCCAGAATTTGAAACAGTTGAAGAAACTAGAAAAAAATTACAAGAGAGGAAGGCTTATATAGCAAGAGCTACTAAAAATAAAGGTATGGAAAGCCTGTTACTAACCACCTTACCATGTCAGACATTTTGTTTGGTATGTCATCATAGAGTTCTCAGTCTGGGCAACTCCATAATGATACTTAAGCAAATAACTGATCATAGTATTCAGTAACTACAAACTGCAGGTTCTGTGCATCCCTCTGTGTAATCTGGGCTGGAGAGGGAGAGAAGTTTGTTGTGAAAGACTTTGCTCAGACTATGAGAGGTGGGTAAGGTTTGAAGATTCAGAAGCAATATGCAGAACGGGAGGGGAAGAAATAGAAAAGTGAACAAGGTTGAATTTTTAAAGGGCCAGAGGAATAAAAGAGCATCATGCATTGTAGGAACGTGAGTAGTACGGTATATCCACAGCACATGGGCTTCAGTAGAAGACGAGTAGAATAATAAAGTGAATGATGAAGGACCTTGTGGCCCATGCTTACAGACTTTTTACCTAAAGGTAATAAGAAACAACTATGATTTGCAGGCCAATTTCCAGTTGCTAATCTAAGACTGCCAGAAGTAGAAAAGTTTCACCTTGACCTGCAGTTGACCATACACCTCATAATCCCAGTCAAATAGCCCCGGACTCAACAAATCCAAGTGTCTGGCACAAAGTCATGGGATCAGGCACATGGATTATAGGACTGGAGAAGTCAGAACTGGACTAAGATGATGTGTGCAGTATGAAGTCTGAATAATGGTAGAGGCTCAAATTTCCAGCCTTTAGTTAAAAAAACAAAGTCAGTACCCATAGAGCTATTGATTGTGATGAATTTAAGGCTCATTGGGGAAGGAGCCTGTGTCATAAAGAAATAAGGTGCGAAGATTCTTGGGAAATCTGCCAAGAGAGTTGTTAGAGCCTTGGTCTTTTTTAGAAATTGAACGTTAACCTGTAAAATACATAAATAATTAGCTCCAGGGAATCTTGTTTGCCTGTGGTAAAGGAAGTTATTATAAAGTATCAGCGCCTCTGAGATTATCCAATTTGTGTCCCAATTTTCATAAGTAAGGAAACCAAGGCTCAGAAAGTTTGTGATTGGCTTATACTACTAGATATAAACTAAGAGCAAAACAGCAATTAAAACCTAAGTATTTGAATATTCTTTCCAGATCATACTTTTAAACTGTTTTATTTCTATCAGTCATGGTGATAGAAACTAGCGTTATCATCATTTGCTCCTCTTCCTCTTAGAACATTTCACCCTGCCTCTGACCTCCTCAGAATTAGTCTCTGTCTAAAAGGCAGCATAATACAGTGTTTTTAACTAGGACTTGTTTGGCCCTGGGACTTCAGTTAACAGCATTCTAAACTCTCCTCTGTCTATTTGCATAATTAATTGGTCTCACTTTTTAAAAAAGAAATTTGTTTTGGAAATTTCAAAACATGCAAAGGCAGACTAAAATAAGTCTCCTTTCTTATATGAATAACAGAAGTTATCAACACCGCCGATTTACCACACTTTCCACATCCCACTCTGGTGATGTGGTCTGCTTTTGGGAGGCTAGATCAGGAAAGAAACCTGAGCGATTCCTAAAAGTGTGCCCAGATATTGTCTCCTTTAAAAATTAACAAACTGGGGCCCTCCCTGGTGGTGCAGTGGATTAAAGCACAGCACTATGAAGCTGTCCACAGCCACTATAGCACCAGTTTGATCCCCATCCAGGGAGGTGACCCACATGATCACCCGCCCACTGCTTTCCTCAGCAGTGGGTTTCAGTACCTCTGCCTTTTCTGCTTCCCACTCTGTCTCTGGTGAATCCTCTCACTCCACGCACCTCTGGCCTGTACCCCAGTTCTTGTATGCATCAATAAATAAATATTTTAAAATACTGACAAACTAAGCTAGACGGTAAAATCAATTAAAATACTCTGAAGCTGTTAAAAAACAAAAAGGGCAGCAGCAGCAGCTTTCAAGTAATAACATGGAAAAACTCCAGGAACTGCAGAGAAGTGGAAAGCATGAAAGTAAAGAGAAATGGGTATTCCAAGAGAGAAAGAGGGGTAGGTGGGAGGAGTAAGATATATTAGACAATCAAATAAGGCATTAAGAATAGTGATCACTTAAGATGATGAAAACCGATCATACTGTGAACAAGAGTGAATGAGGCCTGACGTTTAACTTTGTTAGTTTTTGAACCACATGAATATTGCCTATTCAAGAAATAAGTTTTTCAGGGTAACAATTTTTAACGTTTTATAGCAGCATGTGTTTTTAAAATTACATTTGTGAATGATGAAAACAACTGAACCATTTCTGTACCCTTTTCTTCCCCTTTATATTATGATGTAAAGATCATTACACAACAAAGAAGCAGCTGGTCACACCGCACAATGGCACAAAAGATGTTAGACAGAACTTCCATTCGGAGACTGCTGGATTCTGTGCAGCCACTTTGAACACTTCTGGTAACTCAGATCCTTGCCTGCCTTATTCTTGTGAATTGCCTTTGTGTTATTTCTCTTCAGTGTGTACATGTTCATCAGGGAATCATGTGAACAAAGCATCAGAGCCCTCTCAGAATGGTAGAAACCAGGATGAAGTAGTGGCACACTGTAGCCACAATGACTTTTTGCAGAAAATACAAGTGAAAACTTTTAAAAATTCAGCGGCCTGCCCAATAACACAGAAGGCTATCACTCCTTCAGAGGCAGTTGACAGATTTATGCCGCGGACAACACAACTGCAGGAACGGAAAAGAAGAAGAGAAGGTGACCGTAAACTTGCAACTTTTCTTGAAACAAGTACAAGTAGTAATGAGGTTATAATTGGACCACTGTTACCAGATATACCTAAAGTGGATATGCATGACCACTCATTAAATACAACAGCAAATTTAATTCGGAACAAACTTAAAGAGGTAAGATCATTTTTTATAAAATGTTTTAGGGATGAGCTGTTTAAATATGACAAATTATATTTGTGTGACAATGAAATAGAGAATTTGGAAACTGGTATTGTTTTTTTTTTTTTTTTAGTTTTAGTTTTTGATAAATTTTCCTATAATTCCCTGTTAAATAAACTGAATTTCACTAACAGAAATGTATTTGCCTCGATACAATTAATCCTTATTTTAATAATGAACAGAACATATTTTATATAGCTGTAAATAAAAATACTAGTCTGTGAGAGTAAAGCTCAGGTCCACCCACCCCCTTTTTTTCAATAAAGATTTATTTATTTATTTATGCATACAGAATTGGGGTACAGGCCAGAGGTGCAGGGATAGTGAGAGGACTCACCAGAGACCTCATGACCTCACCATGCCATGTGAATCACCTCCAGTACGGGGATTGAACTCATGCTGAAGTGGCTTTAGCTTCTTGGTGTTGTGCTTTAACCTGCTGCACCACCAGGGAGGGGCCCCACCCCTTTTTTAAGAACTCCCAGGTAGTTCTAATGTGAGCCAGAGGGGAGAGCTGCTATATTGAAAGAAAATTACTACAATTTATTTCACTGATGTAAAAAATTACATTAAATTCAAAATGCTTAGTTTGCCTCTTTGAAAATGACAGTTATAGAAGACGGTGAAATTTTTAAAGATTAGGGCTTAATTATTTTCTACATAATACATACATAATTATTTTCTATTTCCTAAGCATAAATAAATGATACTGTTGGGCCCTTCTTGGTGGCACAACAGGTTAAAGTGCAGCTTCCTGGAAGCTATCTGCACCCAAACTGCAGCACAATTTGGATCCCACAATTTGCTGACCCACATGGCACAGCAGACCTCTCCTGATCCACTCCCTGCTCCCCTCAGCAGTGTATTTCAGTACATCTGCTTGTTCTATTTCAGTGTATTGGCCTGTTCTGGCTCTGGTAATCCTCTCAACTCCCCACCTCTGTACCCTGTTTCTTGTATGCATAAATAAATAAATCTTTAAAAAATAAAAGGTACAGTTTTGTGGAATACACCTTTTAGAAATCATTAACTGAGGAAGAAAGATGATTCTCTTGTATTTTAACTTTGAAATTCAGAAAGCACTTTTCACACAGTTACTTTCCCCCCACCACCACCTTTCTTTTCATGTTAAACAGCTTTAGCAATTTACTGAATTTACTGTTATCAGTACTTGGATAGAAGAACTGCTCTGTTATTAGATTACAGGCTGTACCTTGCACTTGGCCTAACTCTGCCTCAAATGTAAGGCAAAGGACTAAAATGATAGGATATATATCCTACTTTTTCTGATTATTACTCTTGTTATATCAAAACTAAATTTTGTTGGTTCTCTTTTTTTAAAATCAGGTAACTTCATTTGTGCCCAACCCTCCAAAGGACAAGCTGGGAGATACGCATACAAACCACCCACTAAAACAAAGAAGAAGAATATAGATTGCCAGCAGTGTATTTTGTGAGGGCCTATTTTTTTTTTCAAGCTAGTCATATTAGTTCTTGAAGAAATTTTACAGCTGGTATTTTTTCTAATGATCTCCTTTTTGTAATTTCATCCAAGCTAATTGTGTAATATAGTTTAAACTTTTAAAATTAGTTCATTGTTTTATTATACAAACTCTTTATATTACCTCTCACATTGTGATAATTATATGTAAATTATTTGGAGCAAAAATAGAAACTTTACAGTACAAATAAATACATGCAACCAGGATCTGTTTCTGATTTTAATGCAAGTATTGAGTGAGTGATATTCAGAAACTGGAAGTCAGCATATGTCTGAATGCCAGAACTTCAAAATCAAGACATTTCTGTAAAGTAAAATGGTTAATAATCTATTAGAGCAAAGCTGAAATTAGAACCTTACATGCTTTACTTGATCTAAGTAAATTTTGCTAAGTAAAGCAAAAATTAATCAATACTTTTTAAGTGGTAGACTTCTACCACACTTTTAACACACCCACAGTTTTTCTATCTCCATGAACCACATAATTCAAGGTCCAGGTATGCCCAAGCTATTTACATTTCTTTAACTGATAAAAATAACTTGAAGAAAAGCAAATGAAAAAAAATTTAATTAAAAAAAAAAAACTTGAGAAGATCATTACTAAATGTTTTCTGTTTTTCACTTCTTATCTATAAGGATCTCTTGCCTAGTGGATTGAGTTGGAACATATCAATTAATAAAGTTAATCTCCAGTTTTGACCTATTGATTTAAATGCAGTAGGATGGTAGTAAGTGGTTAGTGATATTAAAAGAGGCAACAGGGAGAGAGTTTAGCTATACTTTCGTTTAAGGTAGTGTTTTTTGCTGAACTCTCGGGTAAAAGATGTATTGGAGACCTGAACATAGAATTGAACAAAGTGCTATCTAGGTCAGGCTTGTGGAACTTCAAGGTGCTATATAAATCTTTATCTGGATGACTTCCTAAAAATGAAGATTCTGATGGTGGTCTCTAGGGGCCAGTGGGTGAGGGGATTGAGAAGTTTGGGGTTTTTTTTGTTTTTTTATTTATTTTTTGGGGGATTGAGAAGTTTTTAAAGGATAATTGAGTTTTAGTTTTGCAAGATGAAAAAAGATTTCTGGAGATTGGTCTTAAAACAGTGTAAATGTACTTTACTGAATTGTACACTTATAATTAGTTCGGTTGGTAAATTTTATGTTAGGTATATCTTACCACAATTAAAAACATTGTGTCTGATATCCCTAAGGGGAGGAACTGCTGAGTGGTTCTGTTTTCTGAGTGGGTTCCTAATGTGTTACTATGTGGAGACCAGCACTCATCCCTATTTCTGCCAACAGAGACAATATTAGTTGATGATAAAAGAAACATTTGTTGTGTGTGTATACATGCATGCATGTGTGTGCTTTGTTGTGTTGTGTGTGTGTGTGTGTGTGAGATAGCTTCTAGATAGCTTTTACATGAACTGTGGGTGCTGCTGAAGAAGTGTCGGTGTTCAGTTCTAACTTCAGTAGTAGCACCAAATCTGTCCATAATTCTAAACTGTTCCATCTATCAGTCTCTTAAAAGAAGCCTGCCTTGGAAGCACTTTTTTTTTTTAAGCATGTATTTCCAGATGTAAAATTTGGAAATACAATGGGTTAAGTTAGTAAGACGAACTGTGAAGGCTAATGTTAACATTATGCTTGACCATTCACAAAATCCTCTAAGGACTGCAGAGAACAAAGTTTATCCCTATATCATGTTTGTACAGCATACTTGACCAAATGAAGAAATAAAGGAAATGTTTGATTGAGATCAATTTTTAAGCTGATCCAACTCAGAAAACTTAAAATTCATACATGAAGAATCTCCATAAACACAAAACACTGTAAAGTATGTGTTCCAACATTTAAAAATGTATTCTCATTGCTTGACAATATTTGGGTTGAAAGAGAACAAGTTTTCTAGCAGTTTATGTGAGTACTTACTGAATCCACTCCTTATTGACAGTTCTGTCTCATAAGCATGCCAATATACACTGGTTTTCTTTAGGAAAATAACATTAGTATAGAGAAAATCAGGACTTGTGTATAGGAAAAGAGATCACAAATTGAGAAAAGTCTGTTGAATATAATTACTTGAAGAGTCACTAATGTAGGATAGGGCCCAGCCCTATGGTACCTGAATTTCAGCTGGGGTTGAAGGCTTATATAGGTGAATATCTTGCAAGTATTACTTTATGATTACGATCCTTTCAAGTTTTCTTTGAACCATTGGCACTGTACCTTTGCTTCTGGTAAACATGGTCCAAACACCTCCAACAAAAGTCTGTCTTCTTTCACTGCTTTTTCAAAGTCTGCAAAAGATATCTTGCCATCGTTGTCATAATCCTAGAGAGAAAGATGATTTCTTTATAGATTTTAATTGTGCATATTAAATGCCTGTCCATAATAGTTTTTACTAAATAAGAACATACATTTAAAGTGGAGATTTGTTTCATGTAAATTATAAAAACATAAAATTGATGAAATAGGTCTTCTGGTATGACTGAATCCCAGTTTTCATATGATGTCCTGTCCTGGTCCCACCTTATACTCCTCTTAGTTCTGCTCTCATTCAAACTGACTTTACCCTGAGGAAGGCCTTCTCCTGATGACAAGACATTCATCTAGAAGCTCAAGATTTATACACTTTCCTTATGAACTTCGAAGGAACAAGACCTTTTTCTCTATAATTACAGAAAAATCTATGGGCACGAGTGCCTCATAAGTCCTTGAAGTACCACCCAATCCATCCTTTGGATAGACAAACACACGTACACACAAAACAACAAAGTTCACTCTTCTGTAGGCACTTTATATAAATCAAAAGTTGCTTATGGAGGACACTTAACTGTATTTTTACTAGTCTAAATGGGAACATCTGGTATTAAGACTTTGAATGTTTGTGTTTACAGCCCCCCCCCACACATACACACATGCACACACACACAAATTTCATATAATAAAGCTCTAACAACATGATAGTATTTGAGGTGGGGCTGTTGGGAGGTGATTAGGTTTAGATGAGGCCATGAAGGTGGGGTCCTTTACTGTTAATAGCATCATCAGCATGATGTAAGTAGAGAGACCAGAGCTCCCTCTGCTGTGTGAGGGCCCACAGAAGAAGTAGCTGACTGCAAGGCAGGAAGATCTTTCTCATGAGGAGACTGAATTGGCTGGCCACCTTGTTCTTCCCAATCTCCAAAACTATGAAAAATAAATTCCTACTGCTTAAGCTAACTAGTCTATTATGATAACTTGTTATCTGAGAATATTGAGACACTTGAGTTATGTAGCATTGAGTTATGTAGGCTTACAGTGTAAGTCTGTAAGAAGACAAACCTGCCTGGAAAGCAGCATTTGTGACAGGGATTTTGGAAGAGGAAGTAAATCATGGGGGTAAATTATGTGTGTAAAGTATGTGTGTAGATTATGAATCTTTTACTTGCTTAATTGAACTTGGATTTAATTGGATAGATTTTTTTTTCTTTTTTACTTCTGGGCTTAACTAAGTCATGATTGCTAAGAATCTAATCTAGAGAAAAGTGTCAGAAAAATGTTCATTCCATAGCATTCCCTTTCAAACAAGAAGGAGGTGTAATTTGCACTGAGGAACACGTTTCTCAAGAAGTACTCTCAGCCTAAGCCAAAACTGGTGAGAGAAGTTCCGATGAAGAGTATAGTCAGAAGCCTGGGCTAGCTCATCAGAGTCTCACAACTCCCGCTTATCTGCTGCTTTTCCAAACTCCAGAATAATGCAGATGACTGAGTCTGGGCTGCCTTAGAGTCACTGGATACCACAAATTGGTATCTAGTGTAAGGTCATAGTAAGAAAAGGATAGAAATCACCATAACTAAAAGAGTACAACTGTTTCACTGAAAAACATGTTCAGCACCACTTTTTCTAGCATGACCTTGGGTAATCTGCACCTCATTTTTCTCATCTACAAATGGAGATTAATCACTTCTGTTTCATGGGGGGGGGTTGTTGTTAAGGATAAAATTAGTTCATACATGAAAGTTTTATGAGTGGTCTGATGTTCTGTAAGGGACAATTATTGTTACTATTTTTTATGTTGTTTGTTATGAGGAGTGTGTAGATGGATTGGAGGATTAAAATCATGAGAACAGAGGAGCAACTTTACATGAATTCACCCTGCAGCCCCTACTAATTAGTTAAGGTTTACTGGTTGTAAAATGTTTTAAAATACTAAATTTGTATATTAATCCATTTTATCACCCAGCAACTGATTTTCTAATATTAGAAAATAGTCAATAAACATTTATTGAGCACCCACTATCAATCAAGCATGATTCTAGAACAATGACTAGCAAACAAGAATTCCTGCCCTCAGAAAGGTTAATATTGAGAAAAATAAATCATTTCTTCATCTTTACCGAACATCTACTTGATTTGATACAATAAATTCCAGCTCTAATTCTTACCATTTTCTTCAGTGCAATTTCAACTAGATCTTTTATTGCTTCATCACCTTCTTCTTCAGATGACTGTTGATGTAGACTGTTCTTCAACATGTCAAATATTTTCTCCCGAGAAATGTAGCCATCACCATTTAAATAATAAACTTCAAAACAAACTTTTCAAAGCATAAGAAGTTTAAGGATTTGGATAAGGACTGTTAAAATATCATAAATTTCCTTATCTACTTCAATATATAATGAAAATGGATAAACATAAAAATTTACAATTACTGGACTATATGGTAGAAAGTTTTTAAAATAATCTACTAACAATAGAATTAATTACATTTCTTTATATAAGTTTTGACAGTCCTCAGAAAGTGAAAAGAAGAATAATTTCTGGATTTTGAAATTGAGGGTTTAAAAATGTTAAGAAACTGCAATAGAAGATAAATACTTCTTAAACTTTAAGACGTGTGTGTCTTATTTTACACACACACACACACACACACACACACACTTTGTCCTCTCCTTAGGGCTTGCTTGCAGAGATCAGTCCCTCTCTGAAGAGTGAGTTCCCCCTCACTGTATGCCATGCCATACCTCATCCATTCATCCTACAAATGACCTTACTTAGGTTCTATATAATGGTAAGAGGTTTTGTGGAGTTTGTAATCTACTTAAGTGCGTCAGTAAAAGCAATAGAACCAGGTATAAAACCCCAGGGTATCCAGACTTGCTAATAAGCCTTTGTTGAGTTTCTCTAATCTATAGCGCATGTGTTTGCCATGCAATCCTACTAGATGTAGTATTGTCCCCAAATTAACATATTTTAAAGGATATGAAACATTTATAGAAGGTGAGATTAGGGCCTTCCCTGGTGGTGCAGTGGGTTAAAGTGCAGCACTAGGAAGGTATTGCAGCTACTGCAGCACAGCTTGACCCTTAGCCAAGGAAGGGGGGTGACCCACATGGCATGGCAGATGTCTCCTGAGCCGCCCACTGCTCCCCTCAGCAGTGTATTTCAGTACATCTGCCTGTTCTGCTCCCCACTCTGTCTCTGGTGAATCCTCTCACCTCCAACACCTCTGGCCTGTACCCTAGTTCTGTATGTATAAATAAGTAAGTCTTTAAAAAGTGGGCCCTCCCAGGTGGTGCAGGGGGTTAAAGCACAGCACTGAGAAGATAAAGCCACTTCAGCATGAGTTCGATCCCCCCCCAGGAGGTGATCCACATGGCGCAGCAGACCTCTCCTGACCCTTCTGCTGCTCCCTTCAGCAGTGTACTTTGTCAGTCGTCCTGTTCTGCTCCCCACTATCTCTGGTGAATCCTCTCACTGTCTGTGCACCTCTGGCCTGTACCCCAGCTCTGTATGCTTAAATAAATAAATCTTTGAAAAAAAAAAGTGAGGTTAGAGAAAGGTATTGTATTTATAGTGTGATGCTCTTCAATCATAGTGTATTCATTGTCACAAACATTTCCACCATGTATTAGTATATATGTAAATTAGAAGAATTTACATTCATGAAGCTTAGCTTTTCACTTCTCACTGAGACTTTTGTCTTAGTGAACACTATGACAAATTTAAGTGGCAACAATATTTGTATTTTATCCAACAAAAGATTAGACTGAAGTTTTTTTTTTTTAGACTGAAGTTTTTTTTAAGGCACAAAACAAAAAGTCTTAAATATCAGAGAAAGCTGGCGATTTTTTAAAATGTTGCTATCATATTCAAGTTGTGTTTAATTTAGGTATAATCTTTTTAACACCTCAAATTTAAATTCAAGAACAAGAGGAATAAACATTTATTCATTCAGAATTAAGTCTTTTCTTTTTTTAAGCTATTTGACATTTTAAACAAGTTGTTCCCTTGAACGTCTATTTAAAATTGTTCCTATTTTCTTTCCACTTTCCTCTCCCCAAAGCCTGGCACTAGAGCTTTAAATCTTAGAAAATTTATGTAATGTAAAAGGTGTAGGTGAGTAAGGCCACAGCTATTTCTAAGCAAAATTGTGAATTGGAGATTTGTGACTTTGAACTTCCCAACCTTCCTCTTTTGTAGGTATTTCCTATATATTTTGCTTCCTTTGGACTTCCATTGTCCTCAATCTTCTTCATTTTCTGACTCATCTACTAGAATGTTGATACCTGCTGTTCTGTGAACCCCTCAGATTTTCTTTAATGAGGAGACAAAGACCATCCCCAACGCAACTTGTACGCTGCTGCCCATATCAAGACTCATTTCTCACTGAGCCCAGAGACAGCCTCAGAAAACTGCCTAGTCTGCTCATCAGTCACCAGAAACCCTGACTGTATATTACTGTTTGTTTATTTGTTTTTTAATTGATTTACAGGCCAGAGGTGTGGTGGGTCAGAGGATTCACCAGAGACAGAGCAGAACAGGCAGACTGACAAAGCACATCCCTGAGGGGAGCAGCTGCGGGTCAGGAGAGGTCTGCCTCGCCTGTGCCTCAGCTCCCTGGATGACCACTGCAGTGGCCTCAGGGAGCTTCATAATGCGGTGCTTGAACCCATAGCGCCACCAGGGAGAGTCTGTGTTACTTTTTTTTATTTTTATTTTTTAAAGATTTATTTATTTGTGCATACAGAACTGGAGGACAGGCCAGAGGCTCAGGCTCAGGGGTGGTGAGAGGCTTCACCAGAGACAGAGTAGGGAGCAGAACAGGCAGCTCGAGGAAGTACACTGCTGAGGGGAGCACACCTCCGGGGCAGGAGGGAATCGAACTCATGCGGAAGTGGCTTTAGCTTTTCAGTGCAGTGCTTTAACCCGCTGCGCCACCAGGGAGGGCCCCGCTGTGTTACTGTTTTTAACCTGTCTTAAGACCAAAGCCTGTGCTGGTGACATCTGGGCATGATGGAGCTAGGGAAGGAAGGGGACCCCAATGCTAGGGATTCTCTTATGAAATAGGACTTACACTTCATCTTTTTAAACAGCTATCTTGAACTATTTTTTTTTTTTTTACAAAATTGCTATAAAAAAACCTACTCTCTTATATCTTTGAAAATATTTTAGCAAGTCCTAAAAACAAAATTGATACTATTGCTCAGCCAATCATAGATAACTTACACTTTAGTTTTTCTTCAAAAGTCCCTCGAAGAAACACTGATAATCCTTTAACCCACTCTTTTACATTTACACAGTTATCTTTGTCTTTGTCAAATACATAGAACACTGAAAGGGAAAAAAAATTTATGTGTATTATAATTTAATATATTTTATAATTGAAGAGTATGTGTATATATATATATATATTTAAATATCATCTCAAATTGAGTGAGAAAAAAGATTTTGTATGAGTTGAACTACTGGAGTATCTTTTGCCTAGATTATTTGAAAAGAGTCATCTTCCTTCAATGAGTTTCATTGTGATGTCTGTACTGTCTCTATGAGCTAAGAAGACAAAGCGTGAGCCAATCAGTGTGATACTTTTTATTCTAAAAAGAGTACTAAAATTGTGTTCAAAGAGTTGTACATGCTTAAAGATGAATTACTAAAATTTTTTTTAGATTATCGATGACATCTTAGTATTATTCAATAGAAAACACAATTTTGACTCTTTTGGTGTAATAAATGTTCTTTATTTTAGATTATTGTTATAATTGCAAGGGATATACATATGCCAAAACTTATCAAATAGAACACTAAAAATCTGTTATTAAAACTGAAAAGATTCCATTCAGTAATTTCCAATTTTAAAATAGGATCTTTTCTTTGATTGATTTTTTTTCTTCCAACAGCAAAGATAGGAATTTTTATATTGACTTATAGTCCTCATTTTTATATTGACTTATAGTCCTCATTTTTATGAGGGAAAGGAGTAATTTAATATTTTGCATGTCTATATAATGTGAGTCCAAAGACATCATGATGAAAAGTCACATGATTATCTTTAAAAATATAATTTACTTCATGACTCATATATTCTCAAAGTGGTACACGTATGAGATATGGCAATGTGAGTGAGTTTATATTAAAATCCATCCTCACTATCAAGTCAACTATTGTTTTATATTGGTAGCAACATCAGAATTAAGCCTTTGTAGTTTGGCACTGAAAAATAGGTCTTTGATGAAAGATGAATATATACCTATACCTTATACATATATTTGCCATCTCAGTTTGGAACATTTCAGTCTCTTATGACTTCTTACCCCTATTCAGTAGCAAATCATCAGTCATTCCAAATGTGTTGTGCAGGATCCCTCGAAATGCATTAAGATCTAATCCAACATTATCAAGCCTTTTATCTGTTGTTTTTACCAAGCTGTGAAAAAGTCTTATAAGACACTCTATTTCATTTTTTTTGACTGTAAAATAAGAACACAAATAAACACATATTTAATCCTTTAGTCCTTCAATCCAATTCAAAATAGTTTGCATATATAACACGTATTATTCTATGATGCTAGATGTTCTAGTGATAACAGAAATATGACATGCACTTTTTTAAAGATTTATTTATTTATGCACACAGAACTGGGGTACAGGCTAGAGGTGCAGGAGCGGTGAGAGGATTTAGCAGAGACAGAGTGGGGGGCAGAACAGGCCAACTGACGAAGTACACTTCTGAGGGGAGCAGCAGGCAGGTCAGGAAAGGTCTGCCATGACATGTGGGTCACCTCCAGGGGTAGGGATCTAACTCATGCTGAAGTGGCTTTATCTTCTCAGTGCTGTGTTTTAACTGCCACGCCATCAGGCAGGGCCAACATGTACTTTTTAAGAGTTTGTACAGGGCTCTCTCTGGTGGTGCAAGGGGTTAATAGTGCAGCACTATGAAGCTATTCGCAGCCACTGCAGTATGAGTTCAATCCCAGCTAGGGAGGTGACCCACAAAGTGTGGGGGATCTCTCCTGTCCTACCCACTGCTCCCCTCAGCAGTGTATTTCAGTCAATCCACCTGTTCTGCTCCCCACTCTGTCTCTGTTGAATCCTCTCACACATACACACCCCATACCTCTGGCCTGTGCTCCAGTTCTTGAATGCATTTAAAAATGATACAGTAAGACAGGCCTTATTCAGAAGCATCATAATATATAAACGGTAAGTATGTAATCTAAAACATCACTTTAGATATTTCAAGAAACAGAAAATCAGAATGGGAAAGAGGAGTCAGATCATCTGAACTGGGCCTTGAAGAATGTACAGTATTGATAAAGAAAGCATTGTGTGGGTATGATAAAGAATTTCAGGGACAGGGAACAGGCATAAAGAAGAGGTAGAATTGTTGGGGGTAGAGGTTAAGTCTCAGTGCTATCACTGCTACAGATAGGTTTGATCCCTGGCCAGGTAGCTAACATATGGCACAACTAACCTTTTCCATCTCGCCCACTTCCCCTTAGCAATGTATTTCAGTATATATACCTGTTCTGCTCCCCACTGTCTCTGGTGAATATCCTCACCCCATCCCAACCCCCAAACCTCTGACCTACACCCCAAGTTCTACATACACACAAAAAAAGAGTAAGAATTGCAATTGAGGTTGGACAAGCCTTACTGGGAACGCAGAAGGAATTAAGAAGTAAAAAACAAGATTGAAAAGGATGGAATGATGGGGGGGGGGCCCTCAAATGCCTGGAAGATAAAATACTTATTTTACAGAACCATGTTTATTATGTCAGTTTTGGATCACCTGTTTGGATCCCCTCCTTTGCTGTTAAATAGTAGATCCCTGAGTATTATTCCAGACCTACTAAGTCAGAATTCTAGGAATTCGCTTTTAAACAAAAGTTTGATTGACTCTTCTATGCCCAAATGTTGAGACTCTTTGGGTTAAGCTAATGAAAATTTTGAACTAGAAGAGGATGATGACAGAGTGGTTTAGGAAAGTTCACTTGGTAATGTTGTATTGATGGGGAGAACTTGGAAGCACAGCAGCATGGCTTGGGTTGACAAGGTTTAAGTTAAGGATCTGGACTTGAAGTCATAAAGCTGGGGAGGGAGCCTAAGAACTGTAAAAGAAGACTTGGTGGCTCTCCCTGGTGGCGCAGCGGGTTAAAGCACAGCATTAAGAATCGAAAGCCGGAGACTTCCGGAAGATGGCGGCAGAGTAAAGACACCGAGATCACCG